AATCAACATATCACAATAATGACCTCCGTAGCAGACAAAGATGATCAGGTGTAGGAAGATGGAGGAAACGCAGGTCCCCTGACCTGGTCCTGGAGGGACATGACCGGGTTGTTCTTGGTGGTGTTGATGTGCAGGACGTGGTAGTGGTTCTTCCCGCACAGGTCGTAGGCGATGTTGGTGAAGGAAGTGCTGGCTGTCTTGGGCACCCGGTTGTAGATGATGACCACGTCATCCTCGCTGTCGGACAGCGCTGCGGCTGAGTCCCGCTCCCGCAGGCTGTCTTGCGTGTGCCTCTGCTCGATCTCTCGTACCTCGTGTCTGGCGATGGCTCGTTCTGGGGGAGACGAACGGAAATTAGAAAAAGGCGAGTTCAAGATATTTTTTTTTTTTATGAGAGTTGCCTGAAAGGAAAGATTAAAAAAGTCCTTCAGTGAGTTACTGATTACTCAAGCTCCAGGTGAAGCTGTTCTCAAGCTGAACTTGACCTTTGACCTCCCTGTGAAGCAGAATAACAGCAGGAACTTTTCCGTGAAAAAGATCCAGCTCATTTGTTAAACTACTGATCGATTTAAGAGAAAAATAAGACTACATGCTCCAGTTTGATTTCAGAGCATCCCAAATCCTCAAAGCTTTGTGTTTTCTTACTTACAACTATGATCCAACACTCTGTACTTGATATGCATGCTACAAATATAGTCTTTGATTCAAATCTGATCCACTTACACCTTAAAATATCGTGTTTCCTTGTCAGAAGCGTCGGCGCTGTGTGAGAGACTAAACTGTAACTTCATTAAAAATGGATTTTCATTTCACCATCTGTCGGGAGAGCTTCAAGATCTTTCCCTGCTTCACGCCGAGGATCAAGAGTAATGTCAAACAGGAATATTAGGTAATCATTTTGTGAGCAGCCCATTTCACACTGTGGTACCGCTTCTCTTGTTCGCTAATCAGATTCATCTTTAATATCAGTCCTCTACCTTTACTTTCACTCTCCTCATTTAACTGCAGAGTGGACTGTGTGTTTGCTCATATTTTAGATCAAATAAATGTACCTTCATTTGGACTAGCATGTAGAACAGGCTCAGGGTAATGGGAAATGATTCTTCCGAGAAAGGTATCACATAAAGAGGAGTGGGAAAGGGAACAGTAAGAGGTGGTTCAGGGTTAGAGGTTGGCAGTTATTTGGTGGCTAACTGGACATTTGCAGGACATCAATGTAGCTTAAATGAGAAGGGTGGAGGGTTTTTTGTGAGGCGTGGGGGGGCTGTTTCCACCTAAACACTGCACGAAGCTGCAAAAAAGCCAGACCCCAGTAGCTCAGTGTGAATAGATTGAACACAAAGAAGGCATGGCCTTTGTCGTCCTTGGGCTTTTCTTTATCTGAATTCGGCTCAGATTGACGGGTGTTGACAAAGCCTCAGAGTGCTCTGCAGGAAGCATGGAGAGAGAAGAAGGGTGTTTGTACGAGGAGGGGAGGCACCACAACACTGGAGAACCTAATACCCGTGGGAGCTCCCAGCAGAGCCACTAGGCTCCTAAAAACCTTTCCTAATGCCGTGCCTGGCAACTGAGACACAGTTACAGCTTGGACCTGGCCTGGACGTCTTTCCAGGCTGGCATCTGGCACCAAAAGGCCAATTAAGATGTCATCTGCGATTCCGGCAGCCTCTCCTTCATCTGTGTGAATGCGAACATACTCTCAGCCCCTGCTCTTACACCTTCCCGAGCAGCTGTTAATGTTCCGCTCATGAAAGCGAGATCTGGTTTCTGACGGTGCCTCGCCGTTTCCGCATGCTCACAACTGGACTGACGGCGTGGAGACGTGCCAGGTGGCTGTAATGGCTGAAGGCTGTCAGCGTGCAGAACAGCTGTAATGGAGATACTCATTCGCATGTCCGTCCAAAGCGCGCCTTGGCCAACAACAACAGAAATAACAGTTGCCATGTTGAAACTTTACCACATGAGATCAAGTGTCGTTTTGGATTATTTTTAAAATGGAGTACTGCGACAGCAGAGAGAGAATGGCAAAGACAAAAGAAGAGTTTTACGGGTGTGCAGTGCCAGGTGTCTTAAGGACACACTCTTTATTCTCAAAGGTTTTGACAGAGAGTTGACTCATATGAATGATGGGAACCTTAATATAATGGTTATTCCAAATATTATATTACATTAGGGCTGTTCGATATAACGATATATATTGGATGACGATATAAAAACGTCTATCGTTTCATTTTACGCTATCATTTGTTTTGTGGTGTCGCAAAATAAACTGTTTATGGCAATATTTTTTTTTATCATTTTGATGGTCACTGTAGTGGCTATATTAATTTCTTAAAGTTCTCTCTTTCTCTTATATTTAATATAACCACTAAGGACAGACAAGCGCCTGTTTTTATGCGTTGTGGTTAGCAACAACAATGGTAACACCATCGCGTGACCGCTTGTTTATGTTCCACATAAACCTTTCACAATAAAGCTCAAGATCCTGTTGAGACTTTTCAAAATAAACTGAATCACGTGAAAGAGCAGATTATTTACGGATGAGAAGTAAAAAAAAGAGCCGTCAGGTGCTAAAAAATAAACCTTAGACTCAAACATTAGAACAGGCTTTTCCTCGCAGCACGCGGTGTAATAAATACTCAAAAAGAAAACAGCGTTTACAACTTATGTCTAAAAATGTATAGTTTCATGCATCTGTTAAAACACTCGACTCCAGCTACATGACGCGCAGCTGGAAACACTTCCCGCAAGTCGAGCTGCCCGAGATTCACAGAATTTACAGAAAATGTTACATTTTTGTGATTTATATCGTTATCGGACGATAGAATTCTTATATTGGGATATGAGATTTTGTTCATATTGCACAGCCCTATATTACATCTTAGTTATTTTTCCTATACTTCCCACAATGAGGTCTATACAGTTTTGGACAATGACATACTTTTTGTTATTTAAGGGCTGGCAACCACCTGCTTCTAGGGAAAAATGTGCATTCTGCCTCCAGCTGGCAAGTGGATGTTGGAGGTTGCTGGCAGCTGGTAGTGTAAAAGTTGTCACAAAGAAGTATTCGGTGCTGCGACTATTTGGATCACTAACAGGTTGCTGAGGTCGCCAGGAGTTTTTATGGAAGATGCTGACTTGTCTCCAAACACTTGCAAACTAATTACACGATGGCAGTCAAACTCTGAAAAGCTCGATGCAAACTTAAAACATGGGATTGTTCACCTTCAGTGTAAAAGCTGAACCTTTTGAAATGTGTCGGTTGCTGTGTAAAGCATAACTTTTACTTTGAAGGTGAATGTTCTCCGTTTCTGGTTCGTGTCACTGAGAGAATCACCTTGTAATTATTTTTAACCTGCAAGGGGTTTTTAGACCTGTGTGACCGAGCCCTATATGGACAAAAACAAACAAACAAAATGAAAAAAAGCATAATCACTCTCAAGTTATATGACAAATATAGACGAATGTAATTCCTCAATGGTTAATCTAATATTAAAGCCTGAGAGCTTGGACTTTAGCTCCTGCTCATTATATTTCTGTATCTTCAGTACTGTTTGGCAAATAGCTAAAATAATAAAATAACCTGTTTTGATAGACGGGGTCACATGACTGTTGGGGTTTTCTCTCTAATATTTTAGGGTCTTTGCTTTACAATATAAAGTTCCATAAAACTGGCATTTCATGAATTAAAATTGACTAACCTGTTTGATTTGTGTTTTTCTTACTGGTTATTCAGAAAACGTTCATCATCTGAACTTAAAAGCAGCTTTAATCCACATATCTGCCTCACTTCTCACATGCCAAATATATTATGAATGAAAACGTGTTTCCAGTGCTTACAGCTTAAAGAAAGAAAAAGAAACATCTGAAATATTCAACAGCAACTTTTTCCAGTGCTCCAGTTACTCTAAATAATCCACAGGCCTCACTGTCAGGAGTGTTTTACTGGGACTACTTTCCATTAAATAAAATACTCCCAGTGAGAACTGTTGACAGCGAGGTCTGTGGATTATCCAGAGCAAGGAGTAAGTGCTTCGACTGCAGCTGCATATATTTAAAACAACACGGCTTGAAACTGTGTGCGCATGGCAAACAAAACCCCGTTCAAAGTAGAACCAAATTAGCCCACATGGTTAAAATACAAACACAAATCAATGGAGATAACTGTTAAAATGTGTTCCCACAGGCTTCGGCTCTGTCCGTCTCCAACCGCAGACATCAGAGAGAGAAAGAAAGAAAGTGAAGAGCGTGCAATTTGCTTTGCCGTGGAATAAACACACTAATGGAAGAGTATGTGCAGCTTCAGCTTGCAAGGAAGTCTTTCAGTGTCTTGCTTTTAAAACTGAAGGATAGAATAGTGAGAAAACACCGGGGGCTACCGTGTCCCTAACTACAGTGTCTTGAACTATGTGAAGGGGCTGTGAGCCACTTGTTAAAGACACGGCGTTTTGTGCCAAATTTCCAACAGTTAACAAGGAGGCGAAGAGGACACGGAGAGGGCTTCTTGGGCTTTGTAGTAGACGCCCTATTCATTGCAAGATTGAACACACTTGGCGCAAACCTCCATATCAGAGGGCGCCCCACACACAAACGTAAGCTTAGCGCTCCCTTCTGAGGTCATTTAATTAGAGAACAAAAGCCTGAATTACTATGGCCACACAGCAGGCCTCTTTTCATTCCACATTTCCGTCGATTTCCTCCCCTCAAGCCGACTATGTGCATTAAAAGCTAATTATGAACCGTGACGCCAACACGGGTCTTAAACATTGTGACAACTACAAGCCTATTACTCTGAGCTTCATTCAAAGTCAGAGACAGGAGGAAGACAGAGTGCTGGTAGCTGAACATATTTACTAAAGCAATTTAACGCCGATTAGACCCAGGCATTTGAAATCATCATTCATATTCGCCGCCAGATCTGCAGAATGTGACAGGCCGTCATGTATTATTGCTATCACGTCAGATCTGATGGGATAATAAAAGTGGGGGAGAGAAGATGATCCGTTCTCCAAGCAGCTCATAAATTTACCGTCGCTCCGATACGCCAGTTGGAGCTCTCTGCCTCTTCCCCTGAGAAGTTTAGCCCCTCGAACCGAAGCCTTGAGCTAGGTGGGTAATAGAGATCGGCTATCAGCGGCAGACTGAGGTCTATGGGCTTGTATGGTTCTGCTTGGATGCCGCTGGATTGCAAAATCAATGAAGGATGACAGGCAGGAGATCTAGGTTGCTGCTGTATATAAAAAAAATTGAGTTAGTCTGCTGCTGCTGTTTCTCCTCGTCCCCCTCTATATAGACTTGGATGCATGCTGCTGTTTTGCAGTGCCAGGTTTCCAG